TGTAAAAGGAAAAATGCAAGAGCTGCTGAGGTCAGGCTGGGTTAGTTGCTGCCAGAATCTCCAATGGATGACTCTGCTTAACTGTTTAAAACAGCTCTTTAAAAAGTGCCCTCTACAGGATGAGACGAGAGAACCACATGCCTCATCTACATAAGGAATTTTTCAGCTTTTAATCCTTGCTTAACTCTGCTTGAGTAAACATAAAGATAGACTAAATGAGGCACGTGGTTCTCCTGCCTCCTCCTGCAGAGGGCACTTTTTAGAGGCTTTTTAAAACAGTTAAGCACTAAGCAGAGTCATCCACAGTGACTCTGGCAGCAATTACCTCAGCCTTTTTCCTTTTACATTTTTTTTCTTTTCATGATGACAGGGGTGAGGCTCTGCCTCCCCTGCCTCCCCTGCCTCCCCTGCCTGCACATCACTGGAGCTGGGGGTTGGACTCGAAGATCTCCAAGGTCCCTTCCAACTCTGTTATTCTATTCTATTGATATTGGCCTTAAAAAATCTACGCAGGGAGATAATACTTGGAGATCCAAAGCTGTAGGTTGAACTGGGAAGTAAAAAGTAAACATGCCCAAGGAAAAGGCAAGAGTAGATCTATCCTACCCCAAGCAAAGAAGCAGGCCTCTCTACTTATTTATTGAATTTATTTATAAAGTCAGCACAAATCAAAGGTATGTCAAAAAATGCTTTATTTCTACAGTAAGACGCCTTTGGTTGACAGATGAGAAGTACTACAAGAAGGGCTTGAGGGAGCAAAGCAAATTACAGGCTAAAATCCCACTACTCAGAGTAAATTAGTGAAAAATGTTAATATGTAAACCATCAATTCCTGCATGCCTGACCCTTTCCTCTGATTTGCCAACTGGGGGGAGAAGGAAGAGGTGACAGTTTGACCCCTGCAATAATTGCTTTTTACATTCCTGAGGTCTATCTCTGAAGCTGCACTATGAATTCAAACCCAAGCGGCTTATTTGTGCTCTGAATCCACAACCAAGAAAGAATCTCCTTGATACCTTTGGGCATTGCACAGGTCCTACCTGGTCTCCAGCGCCAACGTCTTCTTCATTCCTGTGTAGATGAACCCCCTGGGCGATATCAGGCGACTGTTGCTCCAAAGCCACAAGAACGTTACAGGTTTTGTAGTCAAAGCCTACAGAGTAGAATTCCATTACTCATACAGAAACAACTTCAACAGGTTATGCAATGTAGAACTTTAAGGAGAATCCCAACACTACCCAGGAAGTCTATATAAACTGCTTCGATAGACCTGAAAATAAGATCTATCCAAAAAATTAAGACCTACCATGTTTTTACCTTTCTACCTAATATAAGCCCTACCCTACCGCCCCAAATAAGGCTTACTTAAGAGCCTGTGCAGCCGCCTGCCCGCCCATCCATTCTGTCTGGTTGCTTGTGGTGCCATGGCCAGGAGGTGAGGTGGGGGTGCTGGTGGAGCTGCCCCACATGCCCCACACCAGCTTACCTCAGGGCCCCTGCAGCCATCCACATCCTGATACCTGCCTTGCTATGGCAGCACTGGCAAATATGTGAAGTAGGAGCCCATGTGGTTGCTGGCACACTTCTGCTTGCTTGCAGCCTCAATGGAGCAGGAGGCTGAGCAGCATGTTGGTGCCGCCACCACGAGGTAAGGCATGTGTCAGGGTGTGGATGGCCTGGTTGCAGGATCCTCATGTAAATGGGTACAGGGTGCATGGGGCAGCTCCATCCCCCCACCTCACAGCGGGAGCACCTCTGCACCACGCAGCCTCCTGCCCTGCTGTGAGCAAGCAGAAGAAGTGGCCCTCCTGTACATGGGGGGGAGGGGGAACCACCTAAAAACCCTCCCAAAAGAAGCCTAAAGCTTATTTTGGGGCCCTAAAGAAAATAAGACCTGGTCTTATTTTCGGGAAAACATGGGTAGTTGCTAGAAATACTGAGGCCAGTTGATCAAGCCATGCAGGCTAGAAAATGTCAAGTCAAGAACAAATAGCAAGGACGCTGATGAAGCAGTTTGTGTGTGAGGGGTGATCTAACCTTGAGATAACCTTTGACCGGTCCATAAATAGCTTTCATCTATGCAAAGAGCTGGAGACCTCTTGCTAGTAAAACCTGAGCATTGCTCAACCAAAGTTGCATCAGTCTTTTTGTTATCTTAGTTAAGCAAACCAAGATAAGAGTCAGATTTCCTTTTCTTCATTAAGATGGGCTGCTATGGATGAGCTTTTTTAGTGTTCCACCAACCTTTAGCTGAATCATCGTAGCCTATGTTCATAATTGTGTCTCGCACAATCTGCTGATAATCCACAACAGCTCTGGAGGTGATCTCGCCACAAAGGAGGACCATTCCTGTTTTACAGACTGTCTCTAAAGATGAAAGAAAGCAAGTTGGATACAGCAAGAGAGTGTGTTAAATACTCAGTAATAAACTACAAGACTGAGTCTATGGAGGTTCTCCATCATCCAGGTCATGAGCCTTCTGCTCCATTTCCAAAAAGCAACTGGACCTTTTTGGTTTTTTCTTTGAAAACATTTCAGAACTGAACTGAGAAAGCTTCTTGGATGAAAATCGAAAACTTTGGTACAAAGCCATAATTGATGAAATTATGCTGACACACATTCCAAGACTCCTTTGTGTAACTCAAATAAGCATTATATTCACACGAAAACATCATCATCCTGATCTCACTTACACACATTTTGTTATAATCCTATCAAATTGTTTCCTCTGCTGATACAATAACTCCCTTTTTATAATTCCTTAATTCTGAGTAAAGTCAGGGTGACTGGATGGAGCTTAGCATTTACTAGCCAGATGCCCTTCATGACACATGGAATTCACAGCAGTTTTTTTTTCTTTGCACCCTAGGAAAAACATCTGCCGCTACCTAGGATAGACCTCTCAACCTTGCAAGTGGGAGGTGAGCATCTTCATCACTAGGCCACTATGCTGCTCTGCTCTGCTGATATCCACTCAATTTGTCCCACCCACTTATCTTTTGTATCTGCCTCCAATATTAAAATTACCCTATTTTTCGGAGTATAAGACACACTCCCCCCCCGCCAAAAGAGGGTGAAAATTTGGGTGCACCATGAACACCAAATGTAACCCCCCCACACACCTGCTGGCCTCCACCCTTTGACCTCCATGCATTGTGTTTTAGACCTGTTCCAGGCTTCAGGGATTTCCACAGACCATCACCCCATCTGTGCTTGCGTTTTTGGCCTCTGTGCCCCCCATTTTCAGCCTCTGAATGCTCCATTTTGAGACCTGTTCGAGGCTGTGGGGATTGCCAGAGAACATCGCCGCCAACCGCCTCCTCTGCACATCATGTTTTTGGCTTCTGCGCATCGTGTTTTAGGCTTCCGTATGGCCTATTTTTGGCCTCTGTGAGTTGAGTTTTCAGGCGGCGATTATCGGCAATGTGCTCTGGTGACCCCCACAACCTTGAATGGGTCTCAAAGCATTTGGAGGCTGAAAACAGGAGGTGAGAGGCCAAAATGGCAAACTGGAACAGCTGCTGCCTTGTCAGACCGGTTCACCTGCTGTAATCACTGAAGCAACCTGCGACGATCAGCTGCATTTTTGGAGCTGCCTATCATTCCCAAGGAGGTGCGTGCTCAGAACCAGCAAACGCTAAAGTTTACCTCTGGGAACAGCTGATTGGGGATATTCCAGGAGACTGATCCACCCGCCAATCAGCTGCTTGTGCTGAATCAGGTTAATATGCTGAAGCTGACCAGGCTGTTTGCTAAGGATGCTAGCCAGATGAAGGATGCTGGTAGGCAGAATCTTTTTTCTTATTTTCCTCCCCAAAAATTAAGATGCATCTTATACTCTGGAGTGTCTTATATTCTGAAAAATACAGTAGCTGTGTTACAGTGAGAGAGTGTGTAGGCCAACCTCAAACATTCTCCAACTGGATGAAATCTGGGATATGATTTGGAAATAGCAACTCCGCATTTGCCACATCTGCTAAAGGGTACCTCCAACCCAGTGGTGGGATTCAAATAATTTAGCAACCAGTTCTCTGCCCTAATGATTTCTTCCAACAACCAGTTCACCACACTGCTTAGAAAGTTACCAACCGGTTCTCCCAAAGTGGTGCGAACTGACTGAATCCCATCACTGCTCCATCCTATGGTACTACCTTCAGATGTTCTGATGGCCATTAAATGTGGAATGTTTGTCTTGATAAGGAGAAGAAGCCACCTCTTACCACAAGCAACTTTGGCATCTGGATCTTGCTTCAAGTGAGCATCAAGGACAGCATCACTGATCTGATCACATATTTTGTCTGAAAGAGAACAGAGTTGGAGACTTGAAATGAAAATATCTACCACAGAAAATTGGGACGCTTTTTGCCACACTAACCTACAAAAAGAGTTATCCATTCATTCATTCTGCATCACTTAAATAGTCAACAGTATCTAAACTTAATTCTGCCAGTCAGAAAGCAAAGGTGGAATCGAACCTCAACCTATTCCAGTCACACCTGCTGTTAGGATCAAACACCTCTGCATCAAAATAAGCCCTTGGCATAGTTTTCAAATATACCACTTTTGAACCTGCTGCTCTCCACAGGATAGTTCAGATGAGTGATTAGTCGTTCTTCTGATGCAGAAACAAAGCATTTGGGTTTATCTGATGCCATTCCAATGGATTAAAACTTGACTGTTGCTAAGGGTGTTTGATTTTGTGTACTGGTGACTCCTGCCATCTCCCTTGTTAACAAGTGACCCACAGTATTCAGCCATTGATCTAAGCCAACAGATGGAAGTAACGGGGTTTGGCCAAGGCTTGGAGCATAGATTGCATGTGCTGCTTTCTATGTGGCTACTAAAGCTAGATATCTTTTTACTTGATGATGACATTTTTGATGAGGAAAAAGAAAAGAGAGGGGAGTGAGGGAAGGGAAGAGACAAGAGGAGAGTGAGGAATGAACGAATGAATGAATCTGAGATCATGTCTTACAGTTCAATTGGACTCAAATTCCATAATCCCTAGAGAACAAGGCTGATGACCAAGGAAAGGAAAGGAAAGGAAAGGAAAGGAAAGGAAAGGAAAGGAAAGGAAAGGAAAGGAAAGGAAAGGAAAGGAAAGGAAATTATGTATCTACAAAAAGAAAAGGAATGAGTAATTTAATCAATGGGAAGGAAGTTGATTTGCTAGAAATTTATCATCATCATCATCATCATCATCATCATCATCATCATCATCATCATCATCTCCATGATCTCTTTGACTAGAGCTATCAGTGGTTAGGTTACAGTCACAGATCTACACTCCTCCTTTCAACTTTGAAAAATGTTTCTCTATATTCAATCTCTCCTTAACTGGCACATAATCACTATGAGTATATACTGAGGATCTGGTCTGTGAGCATCTGGCACTGTGCACCCCTGCAATTGTTTGGTGTGTAAAGGTTGACAACACAGAAGCTACATTATAAAGTAGGATGTAAAGTATTCAAAAATATAAAAATATAAAAATTATGATATCTAAGGGGCTGCCACAAAGAAGAGGCTGCCACATCTGAAGAGCATCTGAAGGCAGGACAAGAAGCAACAGGTGGAAACTAATCAAGGAGAGAAGCAACCTAGAATTAAGGAGGAATTTCCTGACAGTGAGAACAATTAACCAATAGAACAGCTTGCCTCCAGAAGTTGTAGGTGCTCCATCACTGGAGGTTTTTAAGAAGAGATTGGACAACTATTTGAATGACATGGTATAGGATCTCCTGCTGGGGTAGGGGATTGGACCAAAAGACCTCTAAGGTCCCTTCCCACTCTGTTATTCTGTTAGTTATAATAATTATCTTCATGAGTAGGAGAAACAGCTTTGCCAAGGGATAAGAGAATAACTGGTTTATTTTGCACCTCGAACAAGATGTAATTGTGCAAGAACGCAACAGCTGAAGCTTTCATCGAGATAAAAGTTACTGGATTCTGATAATTGTCAAATAATGCCCTGGACACTGTTCTTGGAGCTCACCCATTGCAAAAAATAAAGTCTCCTTGAACTCAGCTCAGCTTCATGAAACATTCCCATGCTATTTTTCTTGGCAACAATTCAGACGTATCTTGCCATTGCCTTCTTTTGGGCTGCTTCTTCAGCTTCTTAGTTCAACCTGCTGACCTGAGACTCTCTGGTGGTCTCCAAGTTCAATCCTACTTGGTTTTGGGGGTGATCAGCCCCAGACTAGGGGGAAGGTGGTGCCCCCTATTCACTGATATTCCAGCATTCCAAGGTACCAGGGAAACAACCTTAAATGGGATTAGTTACTTAATGAATTAGGTTATCGGGATTACTACAAGTCATAGACATCACGTTATTTTGCCCCTCCTGGAAGTCTTATGCATAAGTTTCAACTCCCAAATCTTCAAGCCTGGTAAGGAGTTTCCAGGTTGGTTCGTGCATCAACAGAGCAAACAAGAGCAAAAATATACTTGCATTAGTTTTTCTATGTTGATAGCTCCCTAAAATTGTGGTTTTGTCATGGCCCTCAGAGAAGTGTGAGCCTTTAAAAGGAAGCTGGTTGCTCGGGACAATCCTGATTTTCAAAAGTATGCTTTGTCCTGGAATAGGGAAGAATAGTTAGATGATGATTGATTATGTTTATTGGTGCTCAGGAGAAGGAGGAGGATATCCATGCAGTTTTTGCGGTTATTACTGTCAAGTAATGGTCAACTCCTGACGACTCTATGGGCAAAACCACCAACACTGTCCTATCTCTGACCAGATTATAAAATTCTTACAGGTGCATTTCTGTGGCTTTCAGTACTCCATTTATCCACCTCATGGAATGTTAGTGTCTTCCCCTCCCCCTCCATCTCACATTATTATCTTTGTAAGCTTCTTGGTGCTCTGTGAACTTGGTGGTTTTCTTGCAAACATTTCATTACCAAACTAATGAAAACCAATGCTCAGAGGAGTTTATCTATTTTGGCAATGAAACATCTACAAGGAATCCATCAAACTCAGGGAGCACCGAGAACCCCACAATTTAACTCTGAGCTACAAATATTCTCTTCTATTAATGTCTTTTTTCATACACGTATCAGTACAATGTTCCTCGGCACCTGAAGGAGTAAAAGAGGAAGTCAGTAAGATTAGTACAATGACTTTTGTTTCATTTCTAGTGATACAGGCTTCATTTTTTTCTAGTATTGAATGGTTGGTTTTCTTTGGTCAAAGCAATGTAAATCATCTTTCTCCAATACGATTTTTTTTTTAAAGGTTAACCTTCTTCCTTGTGTTTAGGGAGATTCTCCGTCATCCAGGTCAGGGTTGTCCCAAAGGTGCATTTTCAAGAGGTAATTGGACTTTCTGGTTTTTCTTTGAAGATGTTTAACTTCTCATCCAAGAAGCTTCTTCAGCTCTGACTGGATGGTGGGGAATGGAAGTATTTATATTCCTTGCAGGCAGCTGGACATTTGCATCTTCTTCTTTGTGTTGAATCCATTCCTCACATCTGGGCATCTTAACAAGGAAGATCATTCAACTGGTCATTCTAACTGTGGTCCAAATGTCTAATTTGTCTAGGCTCCAATAATCTTTTGTCCTGAGTTACTCTTCTCCAAATCTCTTTTGTCCAGTATTACCAAAGTTTATTCTCTCAGTGGCTTCCTGCTTATTGTAGGTATTTTTTTAATGAGAAATATCGTGGAAAGAAAATCGGAAATAATGGTTTATCCATCTCATTTCATACAAAAATGTTTACCTATGCCAATAAATTGGTGCCAACAAAGCACATTCGTTTTGTCCCTACAGGGGAGACCAAATGAAATTCCAGGAATCAGATTACACAAGGGGAAACTATTGACATTTCTGTTGAAATTCACCCGTGAAACCTTGGTGGAAGAGGTCGTGTTTAACCTGACTTTATGCCAGCAGATTTTAGAGTGTCCTTATTCGATTGTTCCCAAACCAATAGAATGATATTAAAGACTCACTGAGGGAAAACAATTTGCCCTAATTGGTATGTTTGTCAAGCTCTTTGTGTGCTCTTCTCTGACGTTAAACCCTCAAATATGTTGGTCAACCTATAACCAAAAGCCAAAAAAGAAGAGATACATGACCTCAGCTTTGAAGCTTGGCACTGCACTTCTTAGAATTCACTTGCAATAAATATAAACCTGAACAAAGAGAGCTTAGCTTTGCCAATCTAAGTTAAACAAGGTAAGCTGGATCACATCGGATCAGTACTCAGCTATAGGATATTGGGAAGCTGAACAAACCATGGTAGAAACCAAATTTCTATCTTGGCCAAGAAGACCAGATGGATATGTCCACGAACTTAGTAGTTGAGCTTAGCTCAAAGGAGATGTCATCTTTTACACAAATGAAGAGACTCTGGTCATTATATGAACTATTAACCTCATTTTTCTGATGACTGAAACTTGGAGGCATTTTGAAGAGCATGGAACAGAACCTAATCAAGAGGCCTTTCTGTGCAATCCTATGCATGTCTACTCAGGAGTGAGCCCAGTGTGTATGAATTTATTTTCCTGCAACACAACTATAGGTGGACCCATTAGATAAAGTATGGTTGATACCTTAGTTCCTAGCAGGTCTAGCAAGGTCAACAGATGATGGAAGTTTAAAAAATGACGTTGATGTTACAACATGTTCTATGTCCCATGGAACATTTCTTAAGTCCCAGCTGACTTAAGAAATACTGTTCCACTCCACATTCAAGCAAAATTCAACTGCCTTGTTGGAAGAAAGGTGGGTGCACAATCTTATTATCCCTTATCTTGAATAATACTGAAAGAGAACTGACACTGTACTCTTTCTTGCCCAACCCGATAGCCTCCAAGTGTTCGACCTACTATCTGTAGACCAAAGTTTCATGATTATACATTATTTATATATTTATACATTGATCATTAGGACAATGTTGAGATATTTCATTTCTTTAAAATCCCTTTCAAGCGGCTTTTAGCTGCTCAGTCTTCTAGTGAAAGCAGCAGATCCATCAAAGGGAAACCACCGTATCTGAATAAGGATGGGTCTAACCAGAAGTGCCCAACATTAAAGAAAGTTATTCAGAAGAGTCTGGGAGTTGACTTGAAGGCCTGTAAAAACAGAGCAAGTGGCTCTTTCATCCCAAAACCTATTCTGGGAATATGAAGCCACTCCCCAAAAGGTCTTGACTCTTATACTCCCCAGTGTCTTTTAAGTTTTTTAAAACTCAAATGAAGCTAACCAATGAGACGGCCAAAAGGGAGAAAAAATAGCTAACAATTGTCATAATTGCAAAATATCCTTCTCTGCACTGTACCTGTCTGGCTGGTCTGAGCTGTGTTTATTCCTGCTTTGCCAGTTTTAGACCATAAAGAATGATGGACTTGGACAAGCCCGTGAACAGCCTTTTGAAATATAGCAAGAATCAGTGGTTCACATTTCCCTTAAAATAGTTTTTTTGATACCTCTACGAGATTGCAATTAAACCTTTTAAACACTTTCTCAATAGAACTTCAAACAGCTTTTGGATTGGGAAACTAGACCGTTCCAAGTAATAAGCATGCACCTATATTCTCTCTCTCTCTCTCTCTTTTTCTTTCTTTCCTTCCTTCCTTCTCTCCATCCCTCCCTCCTTCTCTGTTTTTGATTCCTGGAGACAGCCTGGACAAATACCTGCAGTTTTGCTGGCAAAGTTTTTTTCAGAAATGGTTTGCAAATTACCTCCTTCTTAGGGCTGAGAAACAGTGACTGGCCCAAGCCACCCAGCTGGTGTTGTGCCTAAAGTGAGACTACAATTCACACACCCCATTGTCTAGCCTAATGCCTTCACCACTACACCTAAGTGCCTCTCTTCTTATAGTCTATATTCTCTCATGATATTCATGATATACAGTAGTTTGGGTTGTATCTGCTTGGTTTTTGCTGCTGGTGGCGAAGAGCTGGAGGGCCTTGTTCAAGTGGGACTGCATCATGGCCTGGAACTGACTGACTATTTCAGCCTGCTGAGCTTCCAGGCGCCGGCACCTGGCCTTGCACCCCTGCAGGTCTTCCCTGTGTTTTAAAAGCCTATGCTCATAGTCCTCGATGAGGTACTGCAGCTGAGCCTCCTTCTCGGTCAGATCCAGTTTGAACTGAGCTGTTTTGCCAACTCTTTCTCATGGTGGCTGCCTAGCTCCCACAGCTGCTTCCTGTTGGGGCCCTAAGGAGCCAGGGCGGGCAGGCGAGAAGTGGCTGGGAGGGAGGGGAGGAATGAGTAGAGGCTGGCGAGGCACCCCTTGACAGAAGTGATATCAAGTTGCCCATGCCCCCCCAGTCACATAACCTCCTAGCCACGCCCCCCCAGCCAGTCACTAGGCAGATCATATTCGTGGTCTGTGGGATTTAAAATTATGAATTTAGTGGTCCCTGAGGTCCCAAAGGTTGGTGACCCCTGGACTAGAAGACCTTGAAGGTCCCTTCCAACTCTGATTCTGTTCTGTCCTGTCCTGTCCTGTCCTATTCTACCCTACCCTACCCTACCCTACCCTATACTATCCTCAAAGGACACCCTGTCAAGGACCACAGATTTATAACCCCCACCCCAAAACTGTTATAGGTCGTTAATTTAAAAAAAAAGTGCGGGTATTCACGTACTCAAAAGGAAATCCCTAAATTAGGTTGCCAGCTCACAATCCTGAACATGTATCTAAGTATAAGAGCTCTGATAAATCCTGCCCTGCTGCAGAAGAACGTTGAGCTATTTCCATCCGCTGCAAGTGCGTACCTTGTCTCGGCCATGTCCAGCAGAGAAAATAAACCTGGGTTGCGGTATCAGGACACAGAATTTGGCAAACTGCCTTCTGTGGTGTGCATGACAAGGAATCTTGTCATAGTACTACTAGTAGTAAGCAAATCATCAGGTTGGCTTTGACAATTCGGGAGAAAAAAAAATGAGGTGATCCACTGATCCCTTCATTTCCTGTTTTGCACCAAAAGGTGATTAAAAGGGCAGGCAGAATTGGGAGTAATATGTAGTGCGGCTGCTTTGGGCAATGGCTGTTTCGTGACCGAAGTTCCATGTGGATGAAATCCATGGGGCTAAGTTGAGGAGAAGATGTGTGCCTTTCTCTTTCCTTTACTTCCTGAATTTTTTTTTTTAGCAATGTGGAAATGTTCAATGATCCTTCACAAAAAACATGAGGAGCCAAAAGAAAAACCGCTTCAGTTGTGGTGAGGAAGCAATAGCACAGGTTGTTCTCTTCCATGACTCCCTCCCAAACATTAGAGAAAAAGAGATTTCTTTCATGTTTTTGCTCCCTGCTCTTAATTGGGCCCTAGGATATACCGTAAACAGAGCCAACCCTTATTAAGGTATTGACTTGGGCACAATGTTCTACGCACCTTCTGAGAATAATTGCCACTGAAATCAACCAAACAAATGCCCAGGACTGGAGACCAAATATGACTGAGTACAATTCTCTATGCTGAACTGTTTTCTACCAGGCTTGTTCTCTTAGATAAATCTGCCCTCTCAGGTGGTAGCTGTAACTGTTCTTGGCTGGTGTTCACCTTCTCCAGGTCTGGTGCTCTGAAGGCACCCTACTGTACTTCTACCAAGGCTTCAAGGCCCATCTGCCAAAACCTAAGGGCAAGAAATATGGCTTACATGAGAGGATCATAAACGTGGTTGGAAGGGACCTTGGAGGTCTTCCAGTCCGACCCTCTGCTCAAGCAGAAAACCCTGTAACATTTCAGACAAACGGTTGTCCGATCTCTTCTGGGGAAAAAAGAACAACTCCAGCGTTGTTTAAAATCTTCTTTCAAAAGCTCTAGAGAAGGAGTTCTGCTTGAGGGAATGAGAAGCCGCAGGATCTCTAACATCCTCGGATATACCTGGGACGACTTCCAAGCCTTACCTGGATGTCCTTCTCCGACCGATTCCGACGTGAACATGAACGCTCCTTGCTCTTCGTTCAGCGTGTGGTCCTGCAGGCAATCTAAAGTCCCGTTCATGATGGATTCGGACGAATGTCTTTGGGGCAGGAGGAGAGGGAAGAGGCGGCTGGTTCTCGGAGGAAAGAAGCTGTCGGGGCCGTGGGCGATCTCGCCCTCCAAAGGCAGAGCAGGCGAGCGGCGCGGTCTCTCGGCCAGAGGCGCGGAGGCTTCCAGGTTCCAGCTGGCTGCGTAAAAGCGCGTCGCGGGCACCTTCGCCAGCTTTCACCCTCGCGGGAGCTGTCACGCCGCCTAGCCTCTATATATGGAAAAGCGAAAGTGCCTCGCTCATCATGTGAGGAGCCCGGAAGAGCCCATTCCCTGGCAGGGGGGAGGGGAAGCTGGGCACGCGTGGGGGAGAAGAGGGGGGAAAGCGAGCAGCAGCCGAGCGCTCCCCTGGCACCAAAATTTCGCCCAGCCTTGGGCTCCTGTCTCTGCCCCCGGGAGGAACTTTTGTGGCGCAAGGATGCGCAGAAGCTCCGAAAAGGGCCCGTGCCCCCCCCCGCCCTCTTTGGAGGAGGGCGAAAAGCGAGGCAGGAGTCCTGCTCTCTCTCGCCACCCTCAGGTCCGCGAGCTTGTGTTGCGTTGTGTTGTGCTTGTATAAAAATCCGGATTAAATGGAGCGGATGGCTTGGTTCTTTTTCGCTTAAGGCACCCGGCTGATGCAACTGGGGGAAAGTGAGCTACAAAGTTACGAGCGGCCCCGAGGGAGGCAGCGTAAAGTTCAAGGGTCTGGGTGTGTAGGATGTCCGGGTTTTTAGGGACGCAAGATGGGATGGCCCTGAAGTTAGGGAGTCGTGTATTTTCTCTCTCACACACACTTTGACAGAGTTTAGAATGTATACATCACTGCCCTTAACTCCAAGGAGCAGCAGATGCCGTGGAAGAATCTTGTCTGGATTAGTTTTCCTCCAAACATCCCTCTCACGAAAGGGAAAACTCCTTTTTGGCCAGCACGAAGGGAGGAAAACCCAAGCTACAAACGAATGCATTGAGGAATCTTAGGAAATTGGGAAATACAGTGCAAAGAGAATTCAGATGAGTCAAATGATTTTTTTATTTATTAACGATTTCTACAACTCCACTCCTTTCTAGCACTGATGATGATACCCAGGTGCACCATGAAATGTCTGCAAGGAAACAACCAAGTTCAGAGAGCATCAAGGACCCCACAGTCCTCCTCCTCCTCCTCCTCCTCTTCATTCCCCTCCTCCTCCTCCTCCTCCTCCTTCATCAATGGAAGTTTTTAGGACACTGGACAGTCACTTGTCTGAAATGGTATAGAATGTCCTGCTTGAACAGGGGGCTGGACTAGAAGACCTCCAAGGTCACTTCCAGCTCTATTCTGATTCTCCTCCTTTTCCTCCTTTCCCCTCCTCCTCTTCCTTGTCCTCTTCCTCTTCTCCTTCTTTCAATCCATAAACCCCATTTCCTTCTAGCACTGATGATGTTCCCTAGTTGAATAATAAAACATCTGCAAGAAAACCATCAAACTAAGAGCAACAAGAAACCATAGTTCAACCCTAAGCTACAAATATTCTCTTCTGTTGACATATAACTTTTATTCTGACTTTTCAACAACACTGAATGTTCACCTAAGGGACAATGATGGAAAGGAATAACAGTTTTTAACTAAAGCCAAGTTTAGAATTTATTTGTAACCTTTCGGATAGCTTTAGGGCTGTCACTGAAGTTCAGTCGAATGGGGACTCTAACATTTCTAAGTGCTAAGCTGCCTACTTGCATAAATATTTAATTTAATTTATGCTCTGATCACAGCTGCTACTCCAGAGTGACCCAGGATCCAGAGAAAAATGGAAAACTCCTATCTTAAAGATTCAATTTGACTGCATTCCACAGAAATTCAACCCTACCTTGTAACATTTTCTTTGGCCAATTGAGGCCCTTGTAATATTTCCCAGATACTTATCATGAAGAAAAGGATTAAATCACATCTAGTATCCCAGGCTTCACAGGAGATGGGACAAGATGGGTCTGGAATGTGCCTCCCTTTCCAAAGAGAAACAAAGCTGGAAAAACCTGAAATGGTTTCATGTTCATTCAGCATGATATTTAATTCATGTTGAAAGGCTTGCAGGATATCTTTCACCACCTCCAGTCTATGGAAAAATCTCTCTCCACGGAACCAGTGCCTGGTGCCTAAAAGGTTGGGGGAAATTGCCCTGGTGGACAATCACTTAAATATGAGCCAGCAATGTGCTGCAGCTACCAAAAAAGCCAATGCAGTCCTAGGCTGCATTAACAGAAGGATAGAATCAAGATCACAGGAGGATCCTGATAGCTGCTAGGCTTCTGTGGTCAGAGTTACACAAATTAATACAACTAGTGCATTTCAAAGAAACTCTATAGAATGAACCCCAGCATGAATGAAGGGCTTCTCTCAGAAGTGTGGGCCAGGACCACATAGCTGCTTGCAAGACTGTCCTGCATTATTTATCCATGCATAGGCATGATAGCATTCTTCCAGTATTTGTACCTTTGAGACCGCCTACTGCCACATACCTCCCAGCGGCCAGTAAGATCCCACAGATTGGGCCTCCTTCAGATGCCGTCAGCCAG